ACTTCGGAACATGGACTGGAATTGGGAACCGCTGATGTAGCCTATTGTAGTAATGTTGTTTCTGGTATTCTGGTCTGTGAGCATATACAGTATGCGTTCAGGGGGTGTAGCTTTGGACAGCGATTGCAGGGAGGGTGGGACGTTCGCTTTCAGTGCTATCAGGCTAAAGTTAGCATTTTCCAAGATCTCCTACTGCACCTTTAAGTCAGAGTAAATCTTCAGACCCCAACACCTTCACCTTCCAGTTAGATATCATCTCATACTACACACGTTCCAGTTCTTTTTATTCATTCTTGATCCATAGCCATTCCATCAATATTTTAATAATATGTGTGCTAATATGGGGGGAGTGGATTCCATTGTTAAATAAGATCTGTTCAATAATAATTAAATGCATAATAAATAAATAAATAAATACACACGTAAAATAATCACTACAAAAGGTATGTTTACATCTTGCACAGATTTTCAAAATGACAGTATTTTTAGATGCAGCAAAAGTGATGACTAATTATTGGCCTTATATATTAAATAACAATACTAAACGGACCAAAAATGTGATAGTATTTTTCATTCTTTTTATTTTTTATACTGACAAAGTGCATAATGTGTATATTTAACATCACTTTGTCATATGAACTACTAGTCCGAGACAACAGTGATTATCTTACAGTTATTTGTATATGTGTTTGATTCACTAAAAAGAACTGGCTAATAAGAGTCATTCATTCAGGAGTCAAACTACATTGGAGATGCTGTATATGTTTGATTCACTAAAAAGAACCGGCTCATTAGAGTCATTCTTTCATTTGGGATATTATGAGTTTGATTCACTAAAAATCAGAATCAGAATCAGAAAGAGCTTTATTGCCAAGTGTGTTTACACACACAAGGAATTTGTCTTGGTGTCAGGAGCTTCCAGTACAGAAAGTACAAACATAGTGCAGACATACATATAAATAAAGGTAATAAAAACACTAATAATAAAGAGAATAGACAATAAATTATAAATAACAATGTAGTGATAAAATATAGAGAAAAATAATGTTAATATACATAATTGTGAATGTGCATATGTGCTATTTACAGATGAATGTTTTGATGAGTTATTTACAGATGTACAGTCCCGAGGTGTGTTATGTGTTGTTCAGGTGGGATATGGCCTGGTTTTGTGTGTGGCTGTTTTGGTGCTCGGTGCTCTGGAAAGAGGGAGTGTGCTGGGTGTGAGGGGTCCAGAGTGATTTTACCAGCCCTTTTCCTCACTCTGGAAGTGTAACGATCTTGGAGGTTAGGCAGGGGGCACCAATAATCCTCTCAGCAGTCCTGGCTGTCCATTGTAGTCTCCTGATGTCTGATTTGGTAGCTGAGCCAAACCAAACAGTTATAGATGAACACAAGACAGACTCAATGATGGCAGAGTAGAACTGTTTCAGCAGCTCCTGTGGCAGGTTGAACTTCCTCAGCTGGCGAAGAAAGTACAACCTCTGCTGGGCCTTTTTCACAATGGAGTCAATGTGAGTGTCCCACTTCAGGTACTGAGGAATGGTGGTGCCCAGGAACCTGAATGACTCTACTGCAGCCACAGTGCTGTTCGTGATGGTGAGTGGGGGGAGTGCAGGGGGGTT